CAGGGCCCTTGGCACATTCTACCAAGTATGGCAAGCATGTAAATGTCATGCTGACTCCCTGCAGGGCGGGATGGCACCTTGCTTCTCTTTATAGATACCCTACCCATTGCAGTGCTCAGTGGCTACCCAGAACTTTAAAAGTTGAACTATATGCAAAATTTAGTTCTGATAATGGGAAGTGAATGAAAATGAGTTTCTGGTATAGTAAATATCAATGTACCACCAACTGGGATTACAAATGACACAAAACTTAATCTTTACTGGGCTAGGTGCTCAAAAATAAAAAGAAAGAGATGAGAAAGACAGCCAAAGCATGTCCCCTTTCACCTTCCATCTCCCTCCAGAGGCTAACACTTTGGGAACACCTCTTTACTACCAAGCTGGGGCAGATCAAATTGTCTTCTCACCAATCTTAGTTGCACTGGAGACAAGCAATGGCAGGTCACTGAGGAAGTGCTCCTGGACTCCGATCCAGCGCCAGCTGAATTTGTCTAAGTAATAGGAGACACAGCTGATTCAAGGGACAATCATCCAGGTGCCAGACACAAAAAGTCTTTGGTTCAAATAATAGACATGTCCTCAGAGAAGAGATATGTCACCATCGCTTGAATAATTATCTCACGATTTTGAAGAAAACTGCAATGCATAGACAAATCAAACAAAAAATTATTTTTGGATCATCCATGATTTTGTGCTATTCATAACATGGATTCACCTTTAGGTAATTAAGATTCTCTATCAGGCCTCCTATTTTTTCAGGTATTACCTTAACATCAAAGGTCACGTACCATCCATCTACCCAACAATAAGTGGCAGGGCTCAAAGCAGAATCAAGAGGCCTAGTTATCCACTGTCCTCCCAAAAGTTCAGACACCAGACGCTCTGTGACTTACACAAATATACTAACACCTAAGACTCTGATGTGGTTTATGACACACGGTGGCTTGAGAGAGAAGAGGTATACAGTCAAGGTGAATCTAATATGCTCCACCCATATTCCTGTCTACATTTCACCTACTAATTATATACTTTACAAGCATATTGAGGGGGAGGAAAATGGTTATAGAGAAAGAGAGAATGGGGAAAAGAAGAATAAACTACAGGATATTTGCACAACCGTGATACTAAAAGACTTGACTTGTAGTTATTCTCTTGGGTACCCTGAGTTTAACATGTAATACCCATTCGACTAAGCCTCTATAAACAGTTGGGTTTTCCGCAATCACAGCCACTATTCCCACTTCAGTGGGTAGCAGTGTTCAGAGAAAAGCCAGATTTAGCTCCTGTGTAATAAACACCAGAAACCAAGAGCTAGGGAAGCTGTTTACGTCTATGCCCACCAGGAACCCTTCTCTGCTATAACCGCATGAATGAACTGGTACGAATGAGAGTCTCAACAAAGCTTCAAGACAGAGGTTGTTAACTAGGCGCTGCCCTCCCAAGTTTTTGGCAAGACAGATTAATGAAAAGCAGGTAACTTCTTCTTATACAGGCTCAGTATATTTACAAGCAGAAAGTAATTCTATACTCTTAAAAGCATTTAGCTACCACCTTATGTAGTATTTAAGGCAGATAGGAAGAATAATCATTTCCAAATATTTTTATGCACTCTTTACAAACATCTCATTTAAACTCTCAAAATAATCAAAAGGATAGGAATTATCACCCCATTTTACAAACACAGGAATTAAAGGACAGAGGGGATGAATAAACTGCCTAAGGTCCCAGAGCAAGTATGTAGCAGAGGAGGCAAGAATCATCATTTTGCTCTCAGGCACTGCAACAAGTAATGATGTACAGGCATTTTATAAATACCGCAGCACCTACACAACTCTCATGCAAAGAAACACCGTTTTATAGAAAATAACTTCCCAATGTTGTCAAGATTTGACCTGAGCTTTCCAATGAACAGCTCAAGGGAGACTACACAGTTAAAAAGAGATCATCAAGTACTATAGTTACCAGTAAGGCCAAGAATAGAATACAGGTCTGCTGATCCTCGCACCAATGCCCAATCAGGCATGTTCTTTTGGATGCTGACACCCTTCTGAAGTTTCAAGTCACTTGAGAACAGCAAAGAAATGAGTTAATAATTCTGGTACACGGAAGAAAATGTAAGCCAGGCATGGTAGCACATACCTGTAATCCCAGCTATTCGGGGGAGGATCACTTGAGCCCAGGAGTTTGAGACCAGCCAGGGCAAGAGAGCTAGATCTTGTCTCATTTGAAAAAAAAAGAGAGAATGTGAAAAGTACCTAGATTAGAGAAATTTGCTATAAAAAGGGGCATGACCATAAGAATTCTACCCAGCAAGTTTTGAATCAACAACACTGGTACATGCAAATCTCATCTTCTGCAGCAAAAAGTAAAAATGACCTCTGCCCTCCCCTCCCTGTGGGCTGTGAATGATTAGCTTGGCTATGTTGATAACTAGAGAAAATAAGAAAATACAAGATGAGTGCCTCTCCCAGCTCATTATAATACCTACAGATTTACCCTACTACCAAACTCCTCCAGTGCAATGCGAAAGACAGCAAGGACACTATGAATATTTAGCAAATGTCAGGCAAAATAAATCCTCCATTGCTGCAAACAACTGTCTCATTAGTTCCAATGATGGTGACTGATGAAGACTTTGGAAATAGGAAGACTGCTGGGTGCCAGAGAAGGGAGAAGAGCTACAGGGTGGGAAACTGTGAAGGCCGAAGAGTGATGGGGAAAGGTCTCAGGAAAGAGGCTAGTGGAAAAGACAATCAGAAAACTAGCTCAAAAGGTTGGTGTACTAAGAACATCTCTGAAGGAGAAAAAAGGCTATTTATTTACTGAGTCACACATCATCAATAAGAAGGGACAATCAAGAGCAAAAGAAAGAGTAGAAGAGCTTACCTAGGTTAAAGGTTACTCACATCTGCTTCCACTACGGAGATAAAACACTATATAAAATTACCCAGCATTTCCAAATGCCAAATGGGGCAGATTTTAGATTTAATGCTTAATCCTGCAATTATAAGTTTATTTTTTGAAACAGAAAGATTAAATAATTGTGAAGAGATTTCTGTATCAAATTCTTCACAGTTTGCAACTTTTAGCGGAGCACAGACAGAACTTGAGAGGCTACAACCCAGCGATCAAGAGAAATCTACTCAGTGATCTCTTTTTCACTCAGCCTAACCAAACTTCCTACACTTGGGCAAAGGCATTTTAATTTTTAATCATATCAAACTTCAAGTCACTGAAATCCCCAGAAAACTTACAATATGTATCTCAATATTCCATATTAAATAACTCTAACCTGTTCTGGGAAGGGTAAGAAATAAGTTGATTATATAGATTGGCTTCATAATACATCTTAGTTTAATGCTTATAAACAGGTTTCTCTCTCTGTTTTTTACCATTCTCAATATGATCCATCCTAGCATATGAGATGCATAATACTTAAATTTAACTGTCATTGACTGATGCAAACCATCCATTTATATATACAAGACTATACTTGAAATCACAAAACCCTTCTTCCCCACGAGTTATCACTGTCCTTGAGGTGCTATACAGTAAGTGTCCAGAAAAACAGCTCATTTTTTTAAAAAGACAGAATTAAACAAGAAGTCAGTAAACAACACCCCATTAAAAAAAACTAAGCCAAAAAAACCCAAATTCCCCACACACTTTTATAGTAGATATTCTTCCATCCATCTCCCACCTAACTCCCTAAAAAAGCAGCTCAATGTCTAGGCAGATTAAACATGGATCACTCCTCCCAAAGTCCTGAAGAGTGTTTCTCGTTACTGAGTCCTCCCTTCACCCTCAGAGAGTGGACAGTGGCTGGTCCAACTCCATCCCATCTGCCCTATCCTGTGGCCTAGCCAGAGGGAAGACTCTCTTCATCTGCCTCTACACCACCAAGGAAGGACATGAGGAGGGAGGCAACTACAGGGAAATGAGAATGAACTTCCCAGCACTCTCTTCATATGATTTTACTCTGCATTTTCCTCAGCAAATCCTTCCACCTCACGTTTATGGAGCATATTTGTCAGTTCTGACCCCCAGCTTTGTGAAATACAAAGTAATTTTTGGTAAAGCTCCATTTAAGCAATTTACAAAATCCCCTTGTGTATCTGTCCAGTGAAAAGTGCAAACTTTTAGGGCTAGAATATTAAAGAGTTAAAACTCCTCTTCAAAACACACTTAAAAATGGAAAAAATCTCCACAGAACTCAAAGTATAATAAGCTACAAACCTCTAGTGTGGTTGATGACTTCTGCCAATTACCAAATTCAAACTAGTGATAAATGCTATTTCCTATTTCAGCCACTGTGTTTAAAATTAGATGTTAACTCTCCAACAATCCTTCCCCCACAACTAACCCTCTGTTTCCAAAGACCTTTCTGTTCTTAGAGTTACAACAGAAGTCTATGTTCTTCAGGCAGATAAGCATAATCTGTCACTTTACTATCTAAAACCATGAACTCAAATGAAAAAGTCAAGAGAGTAAAACGGAGAGAATCCTGGAGGCCAGCCCGAGTCTGAGCACAGCGCAGGGTTAAAGGAAACCATTTCATAAGATCAAATGTGGAGAGGCAGCAGGAGCAAAGAGGAAAAAATCAAGTTACATAAAGTCCAATTGTACTCACTGTTTCCTTATTGGGAAGCAGCTCCTTTCTAATTCTGAAGAAGTTCTTCCCGTACTGCCTGAGTCCCTTAACGAAGCGTTTCTGTGATAAAAAGAAACAAATGGGATGTAAAAACCAAAAACAAAACAGGATGTCAGCAAAGCAAAGATATCTACGATCAGCAAAATAACAACCACAAAAAAAGTCTCGGCTAGGGAATACTGACGAGGTTGGGAGAGCATGTCAGCAGCTCAGCTGGGACCCACTGGCCAGGGCAGGCCCCAACTATCTTCATCAGAACCCCAATCCCACCCACCAGGCAGGGCAGCGCGTTTAAGAGAAGGACGTCCTGCGTCTAAGGCTAAGAAGCAATCTGTCCCCTCTGCCACCAGGCACATTCTGGTGCACGAAGGTATAAATATGCTCCATGTTTTAATAAAACACAACTGCTTTCCCACCGGAGAACCAAGCTTCCCAGAAGTGTCGAGCAGAAAGGGGGAACAGAACCAAACCTGGTGACTCTTCTCCAGAAGGAGACCCTAGGGGGTTAAAAGGCCGCTTTCCTTAATCCAAAGAATTTGCCAGGAGGCACCGGAAGGCACCAGTATCGCGGAAGCCCACCGGGAACCCGAAACCCAGCCGAAACCCAGCCGGCCGTCATTAAAAGCCACTCCGAGTCACCAGAGAATAACCAGCACCCCTTTCGCCCTCCCGACGCCACTCGCCGCCCCCATCCATTTTCGCAGCAGTCTCAGACTCGTCCCCAACCCCAGCCCGGAGACTTTCACTTTGTCCCATGCCTCCCGAGCACTCCTCCCCGCCCCGGTGGGGGCAGCTTCTGGCTCCAAGCCCCCACCTCGGGGCTCCCAGCCTGGTCCCTCGCGGCCGACCCCAGCAGCCACAGGTAAGCTTACGCCCGGGGTCTCGGGCAGCAAGAGGCCGCCGCCTGTCACTGGGCTCCGGCTCCACAAAGCGCAGGGCGGAGGCAGCCGCGGGTGGCTCGGCGTGTGACCGCGGCGGGGCCGCGCGGCGCGGGGCCCGGGGGGCGCGGGGCTGGGGCCGCCGCCGACGGGGGAGGAGGCAAGAGCGCGGCGCGCAGAGCCCGGCGCGGCCGCGGGCGGCTGCAAAAGGCGGCCTGGATCGCCGCCGCCCTCCTGCCCGCCCGCCGGGGCCCCGCGTGCCGGCCCCGGCCCCGCCCCCGGCCCGACCCCCACTGCACGGCCGGAGCCTCCAGGGCAGCCAGCGCTGGAATCTGTGTCCTCCTTCCGACAGGAGAACATCAAGGCAGCAAAGCACAGAAACTTCCTCCCTACCGCAGCAAGCTTGGGGATAGGGCGCCCACGGGGCTGGGGCCCTTCCCAGGCTGCTGGGTCTCCAGCCCACGTTCCGGATGGACGAGGTCTGCAGCACCGCGGCCGCATGCCCTCCGCCCCCGCCCCACCTCAGCTGCGAAATGGGGGCTGGCCCCGACGCCCCCCGTGGTCCCTTCCGGCCCGCGATTGTGGGCAGCCGCTCCCTCCCGGCCCAGGCATTAGCCTGCACTTCCCCGGGCGCCGCTTCACAACTAAATCACCGCGGAAGCTTCCCAGCCAATAAATCACCTGCCCACCGGGCAGAGGGTCCCTCCCACTCCCTGTGTTTGAGACCCGCCAGGAGGATTCAGTGAAGGACCAGACTTAGCCTTTAAGACCAGTCTGCAACCTCCTATTCCAATAGTGGAGGCTTTGCGTTTTTGATTTTCACCCTGGCTGAGATATGACTCATCATTGTCAATTTTCCATATAATTCATACAGTTCGAAGGGAAAATCTGTCAAGGCACAAGAAAGCAGCAAGCTCTCCTCTAGTGTGAGGAGGAGTGACCTTTGTTACTTGACAAAAGTATCGTTCATATGATCAACAGGCATCCTACGCTGCGTGCACACAGCATATCACCGGGAAAGACGGAGCGGAAAGATGGCCCTGCCCTCAAGGAGCTGCAGTCTGCCCAGGAAGGCAGACAGGTAAACAAACCAGTCCTAGGGCCTGCAAGAAAAGCAGCAGAGGAACAAAGGGTGGTGGGTGGAGCTAGGAAGAGGAAGCAACTTACTCTGCTTGCTGATGTCTTAGAGGAAGTGACAAGGAAGAGCGTGAGCCTGCCAGGTGGGCTCCAGCAGGGCTTCCAGCAGAAGTCAGCCAGGAAAAGGCACAGAGAACATTCTGGGAACTGCAAGGAGGACAGGGTGTGCAGAATGGAGTGCCAGCAGATAAGACGAAAGAGGCAGGCAAGGATCGGGTTGCAGAGAGCCCTTCAGGCTGCATGGAAGAGTTACTAATTGTAGGCTGGCAGAGAGGCTGAAGCTGGAGCTTTCCATGAAAAGAGTGGATGAGGGCTGTGCCAGTGGCAGTGTGGCCTAAGTGTAGATTAGGGACAGACCAGTTAAAGAGGCCGGTGACACAGTTCAGGTATGAGATGAGGACCTGAACTACTGGCACACTCCACCTTAGCAGTCATCAGAATTCATGCTTCTTAATCCATTCTTGAAGTATTCAGGTATTTACTGAGCACCTAGCTGGGGTCTAGGAAGATTTAATAAAGGTTGCCATGGACCTTTATTGAACTGTGATTCATTTTTGCAGGTAAGATAAATATGTGTGAAGTCATTACAGAACATTCTGAGATGTTATCTGGCCAAGCATAAAGAAGTAAGGTACAGCTCATCAGTGCAGCAAGGGACCCAAGAAGGCTAGACTGCAGTAGTCTGTAGTAGTTCAGAATGCCTTCACCAAGGCAGTGACATCAGCCAGATCACGAGGGGTGGGCAGCTACTGCAGAGGTGGGAGGTGACTTCGTGACCGGGCCCTCTGCGAAGGTCAGAGGTGGAGAATGGGAGGTGGGTTATGGGAGACAGAGTCTATACAGACTTGGAGCGGGCAATCTGGAGTGAGCCAGGCTGTGGAACGTCAGGACCATGCAATCTAAACGTGGGCTTGATGCCAAGTGACATCTAGTAGGTCCAATAAAAGAGGCCTACACAATGAGGTAACATGTGAGAAAGGCAGACTCGAGAACATCAGGGTAATGTGGTAGAGCTGGACAAACTCAGATCCTGTTTCTCCCATTTATTGTGATGTAATCCTTTGAACATCATCCATTCAACCAATAGTTACTAAGTACCTACTATATGCCAGAAGCCTCATATGTATTAATTTGAAATCTTTACAATTATTATCCCCATTTTACAGACAAGGAAGCTGAGGCACAGACAGGTAACTAGATCAACTCCTCAGAGACAAAGCCAGAATTCAAACTAAGCCCCCTCAAATCCACGTACTTCACCGCCACACTCTGTAAAATGCAGGCAGGCGTCTACAGTGGTAACTATTTTCTGTTACCATTTTCTATGACTCTGTACTTTCCTCTTCTTGAGTCCAACATCAAATCATCAAGTCCTCAGTATTCTTCCTAAGAAGTGTCTTTCAACACCCTCCTTTCCTGCCTGTGCTAGTGGCAGTCCCAGGCCAGATCTTTCTCTCTCTTTCCTAATAACTAGCCTATTAACCATCTCCCCTAGCCAGCCATTTAAAAGTCTCTGCCAAGGAATTTTTCCAAACCATAGATTTCATCCTGAGTCCCACCTTAACTAGCCCTTAGCCGCTACCGAAGAACGGCATGATGGTCTCTGCAGGACAGTGTTTACACTCCTTAGCCCTGAATTCAAGGCCCTCCAGGATCCTGGCCCTGCTCACCTTTCCAGCCAGACGTCCAGTAATGCCAACTGGCCCACACTGGGACCTCTGTCTCAACTCCAGAATCTGGGTAAGGCATCTCCAGGTTCACCTCAAAATCTCTCCTGCTCCCAAATGAAACCAGATGTCCAGTTACTCTCTCATTTGTTTATTTGTATAAGGCCTGCTGACCCCACTTAAAGAATTACATCTTACACCTAGTGCCTCCCTCCATATAGCACTAGGCAGTTGACGCTCACCATATTTTTTGTCTCCTTTAAAAATTATTTATTTATTTATTAACGATGAGGTCTCGCTATATTGCCCAGGCTGGTCTCAAACTCCTGGCCTCAAGCAATCCTCCCGCTTTGGCCTCCCAAAGTGTTGAGATTACAGGTGTGAGTCACCGCACCTGGACAAGTGAAACCAACAATGAGATGCTGAGGGCCTGGGCTAGGGTGGTCACAGTGGAAATGGACTGTTGAAAGACAGGTCCATTTTGAACTCTCCTAATAGAGCTGACCTCTTGACTCCATGACGCCAAACTCTCCTAGTTTTGCTCATACCACTTGGCCTAATTCTCTACTCAACCTCTAAATGCTGGAGTCTCCCCAAAGCTTTGTCCTAGGGCTTTCTGCTATATACATTGTCTCCCCATATGATCTCCACTGTTCCTTTGGTTCTAAATATCTATTGAGATTCTCACTGGTATTTCTAAGACTAAATCTATGGTCCAGGTCCACTAGGAACACTCAACTTGAACATCTCACAGGTATCTCAAACTAATTACTTCCAGAAATAGGAATTTGACATCTGGTGGTGAACACAGACCTACCACAGCTGTCAATGTATATCAATACAATGCTATCAAGAGCAAAGCACCCTTGGCCCCACTTTAAAAAAAAAAAAAAAAGGAAGTAAAAGCTTCATGTGGCCTGTACTGTTACTTCTCTATGGAAAGCCACAAGGCCTCAAAACCAGCAAAACATCTGCTTCTCAGAGACCAGCCTTTACCTTGTGGTTTACCAGAAATGTAGAGTTGCCTTGAAAATCGAAACAAAGACGACCACTCACAGTAGTCAATGATTGGAAGGGGTCACAGGTGAAAGAGGCTTCTGTTGTGGTTATCTCCTTGCCCTCTACAAATTCACCTCTCTTCAAATGAAGACCTTGAAGTTTTTAAGACTTTAACAATTAACACTATTGACTTACAAATCAACAGGCCCTATAAGCCTCTAAATGCAAGTTCATGGACATAGTCTGTTTCTTAACAGTCTTGTAGTTGTTGAGCTGAAATTGGGCATTTCCAGTGCTGAAACTGAAGGCCTCATGAATTATTTCTGTGTCCATTAGTTTTTCTATCACTCCCAGTGTATAGATATTAGAATAGCAGGATGCCAAGGGTAAAGGAGGAAGGAAATGTACAAGGCGAGTCATTGGCTTGGCCACTGCTGCCAGAGCTGGACAGCTCTGCTGTTTATGCTTGCTAGCTCATAGCCTGCCCACTCTCAGATGCACGAACTGAGGGTCTTGGGATGCTGGCACTTGTTTCTCCGGTGTGTTCATGCCTAACCAACCCAACTATGTGCTGCTCCTTGGGAACACAAAATAAGTCCTTTTCTGTTTCTGTATCCCCACAGCCAGGTGAGATCCAAATATAAATATATATTTATGGCAAGGAGGTTGTTGCTTTGTGTTACAACTTACGTTTATGATTTTGTGCTCTAATTTTTAGATAAATTGCTATAGTTTTCCACTATTGAGCTGAAATTTCACATCACCATCAAAAGTTACCTACCTACAACTCCCTAGTAGAGAAAATTTAACTTCTGGCTTTAAAAAAGTTAAGTTACCTGAACCTAGCATTACTAGCCTTGGGTTTTAATAGAACCTGGAAAGCTCTATTTTGAATTTTGCTACAGTGGAAAGAACACAAGGTTCAAACTTGGAAGCCATGTGATCTAGTCTGCTCCTCTGTTCCAAAAAGGAAATTCTGACATGGCTGTTTAGACATAGCCACTTTAGAAACAGCTATATTGGAATAAAAATAACAATAACATAAAAATAAAAATAACCAGGTCAAAAATGCATTAAATTAATGTGTTCAAAAGTTCCTCGTGCTATTGCTTGAGCCCACCCCCTGTCAGAGTCCCCCAAGCCTTGTGCCTCTGCCTCACTGGTCTGCCTAGATACTGATCCTCACCTCTCCACCCTTGGGATGGCAGGTGGGCCTGGTGCAAGTAGCATCACCATTAACCTACTGATAAGTACAAACGGCATTTTTATATGCATCATGGTATGAAAAAGGTAGGGAAACACCACCCTAGAACAATAAAAATGGTGAACACTGAGCGCTATAATGTGCCAGCCACTGTCTTAAAGGCTCTAACGCACTGGCTCATTTAATCACCACAACAACTTATGAGGCAGAGGCTACTATTATTCCCATCTTATAGGTGGGAAAAGTAACCATGTATCACTAAGTCCTTGAACCAGGCTGGGAGGGTCAAGGGAGACCAGTGTAAAAAATCGGGACGCCTCAGAGCTGTGGTGGGCCTAGGAATGGAGCCGAGGGTGCAGACCAGGGATGTGTGATGTGGCTGCTGCCTGTGTTTGCATTCCAAGATATTGTTTCCCAAAAAATCTACGTGTGGATAGAGAATACTGGGCTGACAGTAAATCCTTCAGAGGGTAAGGTGTGTAAATTCCCCCTATCTACGTGTGAAACTCCCAGCACATCTCCTTCTGGCGTCATCCCAGGTGCTGGACCTGACCCCTGTCTGCAGTAGCAAGAGAGCAGAAGACAGGGGCTGAGCTACAAAAATGGCTAAAAGATACCTCTGCATTAACCCCTGGCTGAGAGCTTTCAAAATTAACTCCCTCTGGTGAATTTTAACTAGTGTATCACAGTCAGAAACTCACCATGACTTCTGAAAAGCGACGTCTACTCAGTCCTCTTACATAACTGTTTGGAAAACACTGTAGGTATTAAAATGATTCCCACTGTGAAAATGGCTCCTTCTGTTTTACCCTGTTTACTGCACAAAATTTTATGTTAATAACTTACTGGTTCACAGGGGACAGAAAAGCAGGCAGATCTGCAAGTAAGCAAACTACAGTTCCCTGCAGAAGACACAGAGGCAGTGAGTAAGAGGAACAGACCCATGTGAAGACACAGAGCAGCAGACGAAAAAGACACATCCTAAATGTTAAAGGTAAGGAGGGGTAAGGTAAAAAAAAAAAAAAGGGGAACACGGATGCCAGGCAGAAGAAATAAAAAAGCCTTTCCAAACATTTGTATTACATGATGCTGGCTCTCACTGATAAACCACTGGATGAGAACTGTCCTTCATTCATATCATCCTGTTGGTTACAGATCCCACCACCCCATATCTAAAACACATTTCCTTCTGGAGCTTTACTGTTGATGCTGCTTTGAGATGTATCATTTGGTTTGAGTTTTAAATATTTAACATTTTAATGAAAGGGTGACTGCAGTAAGGCACTACTTTTTCAATAAAGAGCAACATAACCAATTTGCCTGGGAAGAGACCTGCCAGCAAGCCATAAGGAGCATTTCCAAAATTTCCAGTATAGTCTGCTCCCAATTTCTGCCTCCACTTTAAAAACACTTTGCACTTACTAGTGTTATTCCAGGAGAGCCAGTTAATAGTTTAATGAAACTAGTTAGAGTTTAAAGGCAGCAAATGGGATAATTTAAAATAATCATCCCATTTTTATTGATGATTCTCAAATCTCTCTCCAGATATGACATTTTACCCTAGCTCAGACTTGCACCTACACTTTCTATTCAGACTAATGTCCTCCGTAGTTTTAGGACATCACCATCCCAACTTGGGCACTGACAGCCCATGGGCCACATCTTCCTCAAAGCGGCAACTCAGGAACCCAGAGAACTGACTGAAATAGTTCAGTGTTTCTTGAGTTCCCCAAGGCCTTCAGGTTTCTGTGCAGAGTGGAAGTGGTAGCGGTAGTGGCACAAGTATGCTAATTGCCACAATACACTCTCCAAGGTAAGTGTCACTGGGCCCGTTCTACGGATAAAGAAACTAAAGGTTAGGTAAATGGAATATCCTGGCCCATCCCACACCTAATCATCATCAGGGCCAGGATTCAAGTCCAGTTCTAACAATAAAAGCCATGCCAATGGTAACAGAGTGAGTGTGAGCTGCTAAGTACTTCTGTGTATTAACTCATGCCACAAAAGTCCATACATGCCATAGGGTGACCCAGTGCTACACTGGGTAGGCCCCTCCAGGCATTCCTTTGTCTTCCAAATACCCACTGAGGTGCAGGCCTATTACCCTTACGTTACTACTGGCACAAGTAAAACATCTTCCTGCATATACCTTAAGACAGGGGTCTTCAGTCCCCAGGGTACAAACCACTACCAGTCCATTGCCTGTTAGGAACTGGGCCACAGAGCAGGAAGTGAGCGGCAGGCAAGTGAGCAAAGCTTCATCTGTATTTACAGCTGCTCCCCATGGCTCAAATTACTGCCTGAGCTCTACCTCCTGTCAGATCAGCAGTGGCATGAGATTCTCATAGGAGTATGAATCCTACTGTGAACTGCGCATGTGAGGGATCTGGGTTACATGCTGTTTTTGAGAATCTAATGTCTGATGATCTGTCACTGTCTCCCATCACCCTCAGATGGGACTGTCCAGTTGCAGGAAAACAAGCTCAGGGCTCCTACTGATTCTACATTATAGGGAGTTGTATAATTATTTCATTACATATTACAATGTAATAATAATAGAAATAAAGTGTACAATAAACGTAACACGCTTGAATCATCCTGAAACCATCCTTCCCCCCAGTCCATGGAAAAACTGTCTTCCACAAAACTGGTCGCTGGTTCCAAAAAGGTTGGGGACCTCTGCTGTATACCACTGTAGTCTTATAAACACTGTTTAATTAACCTAAACATTTAAAATGTTTCCTTTCTTCAATAATAAATTAACCTTAGTTTACTGTAACTTTTTTTACTTTATATAGTTTAAAACGTCTCTATTAAACTCATGGGCCTAGCACCTCAAATCTCCCCAGCTTCTCTCTCACCAAGCCAGCCTGCCCTCTCTTAGCTACCTGTGGCCCTATTTCTGTCAGCTGCAGGAGAGTTCTCCAAGAAGAAATGCCTAGCTTGCTCTCTGTCCATTCCCACTCCTTTCATCAGTCACCATGCCCTCTAGATTGATTCTTCATGGAGTTTCCTGTTCAGCATGCTCCTCTGTTTTTGCAGGGGCTCTGCCAACTACAGGGCCACGTCATGCCAGTGACTGCCCTGGTCTCCTCCCTGGCCTCAGTGTGTCTCCACACCCCTCCCCCCCAACATTCCAATTCTGGGCATTCTGTATATTAATGTGTCCTCTTATTTGAAGACCTGTGACAATTTCCTAGCACGTCCAAACTATCGGTCTGCTAGTTAACAGTCTCCACAATTGGGTTCCCAATCACCTACACCACCATGTAGTGAAGTCAGTTACTGCAGTACCCCATCCTGATTCCATTCTCTGGGTATTTACCAATGCCTTTCTCTCTTCCCAATCTAGAATGTCCCTTCTTCACTTTTGCGTATTCAAACACATCAATTCAACTAACATTCATCGAGCACTCATTCTAGAGAACACACTGTGCAAAGAGCACAGCGCGAGGCACTGTGCGAAGCGTGTTCCAGTTTCAACTCTATCCCTACAGAGTCCGCTCTGCTCTCTCTCCCTTCTCTGAAAAACAATTCCTATTTACAACTAGAATTAATAACCACTTCTGTCATTAAAAGGTCTATAGATCTTCCACCAAATTGTGGATTCCTTTCCAGCAAGAGTTGAGTATTTCACGTCTTTTGTAATCTTCAGAGTGCCTAGCAAACTGTAACCAAGCAATATGATAACTGTTGGGCATGGGTATTGTTTTTGGTCCTAGAGTTTTCCCTAAAACACTATACATGTCTGGTAGATGGAAACAAAATTTCTAATCAACGTTAGATTTATGTTTCTTTTTATCCAAGAAGAATGGAGATGTAAATAAGATTTCAAAATAGGATGAATTCCTTGGACTTTCAGTGCAGAAAACACTGTTTTATATCTACCAATCTTAGAGGAATAAAGGGTGTGATACTTGTTAAGGTACTTCTTAAGATACTTTAAAGGAAAGTCTACATATACCTATACACAAACTTTAACTCTTGAAATAAAAGCACATGTCAGAGATTATATGCTGTATGCTGGATATCCATGAGGAAAATTTTCCCACAAACAACCTGGCATGGTTCTGCCACTAAATAACTACATCCCCTGTACTGGTAACTAGCCCTATCGCAGGACTGCTGTGTTCCTGGGTGCAAGATGGGTGTCCAGGCCTCTACCATCTTCAAAGTCTCAACTTCTATGTGCTTGGTTCTCTTAACAATGGACAGTAGCAAAGCAGGGTAGCCTCTTGGTCCTACATAGAGACAAGAGGAGGACTGAACTATTTCCAAGAAGACATCCTGTTTTGCATGACATGTTTTGTCAACTGTCTTAAATACCTTTAGTATCTAATAACACCACTTCCACTTGGTTCTCCCTCTCTGGACATGTGTCTTTGAAATAAATCCTAGTTTCAGCACACACAAAAAAGACCTGTTTCCCAGGCTAGTCCAGAAGATTCTATGGTAATTACAACAGGATCCCATATCCAAGACCCCTGAGTAACAGTCCACTTCTAAAAGAAGTCCTCTCTAGGGTCAAATATGGCAGCTGTTTAGCTGACACAGAGGAGTAATACCAAAGAGTTCTCTTTTCTGTTTCCTTTCTTTTCCTCTTTTTCCTTAACTTCCAAAGGCCAAAGAGAATGAGAAGGAGCACTTGGGAAGGTAGATCTAATATAATCCTGCCTGGCTGTTCTGCCCTTCTCAGTCCATGAGTATCATGATAATGGGCAGCTCCTGGTTCAAATCGTTGTTTTATTTCATCACCCCACCACTAGCAGCCCCCAGTTAAGATTAGCTATAGAAACGTAACACAAAGGGTGACTGAAGTGCCAGGTCTTTCAGTGTGTGAGGCCAGCAAGAGTCCAACAGCCCCTAAATGTCCCAGCTGACTCTTCTGATGATGTGCCCAGAAATGTCTACAAAAGCTGAGCAGCTGTCAACTCAAGACTTCCTGCCACACCTGCGCTATCACTGGAATCAGAGAATGATAAAGCTAGAAGGAATCATTAGAGAACTATGCTGGTTGAAGCCCTCATATTACAGATGAGAGCCATAAATCATTTAACTGAAATTAAACCAACAAATCAAACCACACATACCCACAGAATCTTTACATTTGTGACAAACTATATTTTCTAGAGGTGGCTACTCCAACACAGATTCCATCCCATATGCTCTTGCAATGTGATAATGACACTCCTTCATTTTCAGGTGGGTCTCTCTGTTCTCCTGAGCCTGGGTAGACCTTTGTAACTGTCTTGACCAACAGAATGTGACAGAATGATACCAGGTGACTTCTAAGACTACGTCATACAAAGCAATGCAGCTTCTGCTGGGCTCTCCTTCTCTGGACATGTATCTTTGAAGCCCTGAGTCCGGCTTGCCTGAGACCACCAGGGATGGAGAAATGCTACAGAAGCCCTAGCTATTCTAGTCCCCAGCCATCTGAGTCTTCCTAGCCCAGAATCGTAAGTGAAGAAGCCTTCAAGATGATTCAAATACCACCTGTCACTTGACTACAACCTCGGAAAGCCCAAGTCAGAGCTGCACAGTGAAGCCATTCCTAAATTCTTGTCCCACAGAAACTGTGAAAGATAATAAATGATCATCATTGTTTTAAGTTAGGCTAATTTTTATTATCGGGGTAATGTGTAACATAGTGATAGGAAACTAATACAAGATTCATTGCTAAAACCACTAAAAACTTTAACCTGTTAGTCACTATTAATTTAAGCAAACAAATAAGCAATCTTCCAATTATGCTTCCCCAATTTGCATGCCTGTCACTATCTATAACCTTACTCTGCTTCATTTTAAGGCCTGGCTCTTACCATCACCATATATGATATGATCAGATGACATGACATAGGCTACGTTACTGAGTATATGAGGAAAGGGTCTTTGTTTTGTTCACTATTATATCCCCAGCACCTAGAATAGCACTTGATAACACATAGCAGGTGCTTGATCACCAGTAGCTCAGTACAAGAATGTATCTGGAGGTGACTGGGCTTAAGTCTTCCTCCAAGGCTATTTGATCTGTCATCATCTGTTCTCCAGTTTGACTGAACATCTCTTGATATATATTCATTGCACTGTTAAGTTTCTAACATCTAACTACTACTGACAAAACCATTAGATGTTCTTAGTTCAAACCTACTAGAGGAACTACGCCATCCCCTCCGTGATGCCAGCTCAGCATCCAGAGTAAAGCCAGTGATTTCCTTTGTCAACACACCTGTATGCCAAAACCCTTCCCAGGAGGTCTCAAATACCAGATAAAAGTTACTCCATTTTTCATTCAAAGACCATGTGCCCAATGGGAAAATGACCTCATGCTAGTGGTTTAAATAGCAACTGCACCCACTAACACAGCCCATTGAGCTATCCTATAGATACAACTCTGTCAATGCCCCTCTGGGTCTAGATAATTACATTGAGTACACTGAAGTCCTTTCATTATTGCAGGACCAACAGAAAGTATTGCCACTGGGCGAATATCAGAAAGCATGCATCAATGCACTTTCAAGTCAAATGAGAACTGGCTAGTTAAGCAGCAGCATTAACAGATGTAGAGATCGCACCAGCCAAATGCCTCTTGCCAATTATGTCCACACAGCTACGCCCAAATTAAAAATAACCCAACACAGCTGGGTGCGTTGGCGCATGCCTATAATCCCAGCACTTTGGGAGGCTGAGGCAGGCAGATCACAAGGTCAGGAGTTTGAGACCAGCCTGGCCAACATGGTGAAACCCCATCTCTACTAAAAATACAAAAATTAGCCGGGCATGGTGGCGTGTGCCTGTGGTCTCAGCTCCTTGGGAGGCTGAGGCAGGAGAATCACTTGAACCAGGGAGGCGGAGGTTGCAGTGAGCCGAGATTGTGCCACTGCACTCCAACCTGGGCGACACAATGAAATTCAATCTCAAATAAATAAATAAATAAATAAATAAATAAATAAATAAATAAAATAACCCAACACTCATGACAGAACCCAAATGGGCATGGGAGGCTCTTTCCCTCCCTACAATATCACCCTACAGTCTCTACATAAATGCCCCTGTAAAGTGGCTCCTAAGTAGGTCATTAAAATGTTCACCTTTCCTTGGCAAAGTAGATCTCAACACAGGAGGAAAGAGAAATAAGCTAAAAAAAGAAATGTGGATTGTCCAGAAGTTACAAGGGAACAAAAAAGTGGAAATCCTTAGCGAGAAAACCTTTTGCAAAAACTGTAATTAAAGGAATCTAGACCAGTGGTTGCCCGATAGAAATATAAGCCAAAAATGTAAGTTTTACTTTTCTAGTAACCGTATTTTAAAAAGAAACAGGTAAAGTTAATTGAAATGTTTTATTTAACTCAATAGATCAAAAATATTATCATTTCAACATGTAATCAATATAAAAGTTAGTAATGAAATATTTTACATTCTTTTTCTTCCTGCTCAGTCTTTGAAATCAGTGTGTATTTTACACTGACTGCGCATCTATACTTGGGCCAGCACATTTCAGACGCTCAACAGCCACAAGAGACCAGTGGTTACCATACTGGAAAACACAGGTCTAGAATAATCCTAACTTCTTTTTTTGTAAAATACTAAATCATCCAAAGCACTCCAAGTTTTCTATTAGGGAGGCAAAATAACTATACTGTTAGAATCATGGGCAATGATATCATAAACTCCTAAAATAAAATCACATAGGGCTGTTATTTCAAATTACGTAAAACTTGTCTTCCAGAAGAACTCGACCAAATGCCAAAGTTCTTAACATCTGCCCCACTTCCCAAACAAGGGAAACTGAAGACCCCGACGAGCACCAGGGCCTTCTGTCAGCTCCTGACAGAGAAGGGGCTCCTGGATTTTGTTTCCCCTTCATGACAATACAACATGGGACTGGGTTCCTAATTTGACTCTGTTCATTTAAAGAATGATCTCAAAGAAGAAAGGAAAATCAATGACCCCTTTAGGAAATGTAGTCCAGGGTGGGGGTGGAAGGAGCATTTCAATGACAAAAGCCAAACCTCAGTCATAATGCAGATCCCTGTCTAACAGGTGGTCATTATTTTTTTTCTTTTTTTTTTTTTTTTTTTTGAGACGGAGTCTGGCTCTGTCGCCCTGGCTGGAGTGCAGTGGCGTGATCTCGGCTCACTGTAAGCTCCACCTTCCTGGTTCACGCCATTCTCCTGCCTCAGCCTCCCAAGCAGCTGGGACTACAGGTGCCCGCCACCATGCCCGGCTAATTTTTTTGTATTTTTAGTAGACACGGGGTTTCACCGTATTAGCCAGGATGGTCTCAATCTCCTGACCTCGTGATCCGCCCGCCTTGGCCTCCCAAAGTGCTGGGATTACAGGTGTGAGCCACCGCGCCTGGCTGTTTTATTTTCTGTTACAGGTACTCTGGTCTCCCGCCTACCCCATGCAGGATGGCTATCCCCATGCAGGGCGGCTGTGACTTTCAAGAGAGTCCCCCAAGGGAAGGTCCCAAGATCAGGGGCTGATAATGGGCCCCACCACAAGGCTATGCTGCTGGCTTTTGTTTGGAACAACAGCGCTCCCATGATACCTCACTCTTGCTGAAAATATTGGTAATATGGAGGCATGAACACAGCTGTGTGTAAATTATACACACAAACAGATTAGATCTGTATATTTATAAGGAATACAAACATACTAATAGCTCATTTACATACACAGCTGGATACACTGGGCTGCATGCAGAGGGGTTTGAGTTCCAAAATATTTCTCTAAAATTTTACAAAAAGAAATGCTAAGGTTACTGCTAAGCCAGGCTGCTCCCCTGACCCTCATACAGTATGTCCCCAGAAATAGAGTCCTTTTCATCCTCATTTGTGATATCTGAGATGCTATGAAGGAGAAATCTCAACAAGAGCTGTTAGATTTCACTTTTATGATTATTTATTGTTATTTTTAGAGACAGGGTCTTGCTCTGCCACCTAGGCTGCAGTGGTGTGATCACAGCTCACTGTAACATGGAGCTTCTGGGCTCAAATGATCCTCCTGGCTCAGCCTCCTAAGTAGTTCAGACTACACGTATGTGTCAGTCACCATGCCCAGCTAATTTTAAAATATTTTTTTGTAGAGACAGGGTTCTCACTATGTTGCCCAGGCTTGGTCTTGAACTCTTGATTTCAAGCAATCCTGCTCCCTCAGCCTCCCAAAGAGTTGGGATTATGGGCATGAGCCACTGCGCCCAGCCAGATCTCACTCGTATAGGAAAAAAATTATAGGATAATTTTCAGTTAAAAGGATGCATACATATATGAAGAGAGAGACCTACTAAAACATCTGTTACAACAGCATATAGTAAGGCAGAATCTTTGCATTTTCAAAATGTTTTCATAAACTTTATTTTTTAGAGCAATTTTAGGTTCACAGCAAAATGGAGCACAAGGTATAGGGATTTCCCATATAGATGGGTCTTTGAATTTTTTAGCTAATTTTGAAAACTTGTGAGAAGAGCAATCAGCATTTTGTGCTCACTATATTAAACCTGGGAGAGCTGGGCTCTGATTCTACGTCTGATTCTACCAAGGCCTCAGTTTACCTCTGATGGTATCACAAGTACTCAAATTTAGCATTTAAAAATACTAACTTTTAAAATGTTGAGTGTTCCAGTAAAATAGTTAAAGAAAAAAAAAGGTAATAATCCAACTAAGAAAAAAATATTAACTTATACATATCTGGATAATAACAGACTCATTCATTACAGGCCCTAATTTTATTATTTAAAATGTTTACAACAAAGCTCTCTAACTGATATTCTCCCTTTCTCTCTTTTTGCCTTGATATGGTTTCTATAAACTCCTGGTTTAAAAAAGAAAAAGGGTCCATTTCTGAGGCTTGGGTTTACTGTACTTACAGTTCCACCAATAAATCATCTCCCAATCTGGGCTGGAGAAGCACTGGCCACGGTTTGATTGCTCCAGCCCCAGGTTGCCAGGCAACCCACACAAGGGGGAAGTCTGAGAACCGCTGACAGATAGCCAAGTGGCTGAAACAACAGACTTCTCTCTGTCAAAAATGTGTTTGAGAGAGCCACTTGCCCACCTCTGCTCTCTGCTAAACACTACATGATTGTAAAATCAAAATCAAAAGGCCACTGTAATAAAAACACACTTCCTGTTCAATTACTAATTGTTCTAAAGCTGTGGGGAGGCCCAGATCCTACAGTGTATGGCAACAGAAATGCGATACTGTAAATGAGATAAAGCCAGCAGCATGCAAGAAACCTGATCTAAATGCATCTCTGCAGCTTTCAAGTCAGGGGAGCTGGTGCGTGGAGGAATCAACTGCCTAAGAAAGCACCAGGAAGAAAATAATGAATGTCAAGATGTTAAAGAAACAAAGCAAACAGTAACTATGAAGCTAGAGGTCAAGACTACTTAGTAATAAAACCAAGAACATTCTCCATTGTTTTGAAACACAATCTGGAGGCAATGGAAGTTCTCTCCCTCAGAGATGGAAAGGAGGAGCAAGGAAGGTTGATGACCCTTGGGAACCACACCCCTTGGCAGTTCCAGGTAGATTCCCTGATACCTGACTGTAAATGGGATTACAGGAAATAGCAGCATCCTTAGGGTAATGCGGGACAATTACAGG